CCCCCACTGAACTGATGTCCGGATTTGGTCTAAAAACATTATGGTAACCCTGGGTATAGTGCTTCTTAGTGGCTATAGACTAACTGATTCAATGTTTAAGTCTGTGTGGAGTTGGATACGTACCAAGACGCATTTTTTATCAATATCATAAGTTGAGTAATCGATTAGGTAGGTACGTGCGACACCGGGCCAAGAGATCACAGAACGGAGTTAGATTACCAGTTCTAAGTTCTGCAGAGGCCGAATGTACCATTATAACGTGACACTAGGCTGGCTCCTGGCTGGTTATGCTAACCGAGTCGAAAAGACCTCACTTCTGGGCTCTGGATGTAAATAATATTTGAATATTTATTTGTAGTATTGAATTTTTGTAAGGAGTTGCAGTCTAGGCTGCGGTTTGACGAATTATAGTTAATCTGATATTAACTACTAACTTAACTTAATTGTTTTTTGTTAACGTAAAATAAGCTAATTAAATGTTCTTTTATGTGCCAAGTTCAAAAGTTAATTTATTTTGTTCCCAATTTTACTTTATTTTATTACATTTCAATCGATTTTGTTGTCGTGTAAAAAATATTTTTCGTTTTGTTTACTGTAAATCATTATTTTAGTAACGACAAAAACTTTAATTAAATAGATTCTATATATAATTTAAATAAATACTTTAAAATCAGTTTATAGATTTGAATTGGTAAAAAAATAAATTAGGATAGTGTTAAGTAAGTTACCAAAAATGTAATTTCTTTAATTAAAGTATTTAAAAAAACATGAACTTGCTCAACTGTGATTGTAGTAGGAGACTGGCCTATATGCCCCCCCCCAACCCATTTCATACAGTGGTATCTCATAAAGATCCTCAATCCCCCACTATTGTAGCTTAAATAGAAAATAAGATCAAACATTAAATTGGGTATAATTTATTTTCATACTTTAATGTTAATTATTTCCTGTATGACTGCATATTTAATTCACAATAATCATACTTCCTTCATTAAAAATAAAAATAAATCACTTAAGAATTTAAAAACATATATTCAGCACATAAATATACCTATAATGAACCAACACAATATGGGTACTTATGTCAATGTTATGTGCATATATTTTACTCTATTTTACTATAGCATGATAGGTATTTACTTAATTATTTATTATTGACTGTTATAGTGTTATAATTTGTATTATATACCCAAATATGAAAATTAAATTACTTTAATATACAAGATGGCAAGGTGCATTAATAATAATTATAATAATGTGAATGTCAAATATATTATAATATAAATTATTATAAATAAATAATGAAGATTATTTACTGTGATTAGTCAATTCAATAAAAGTTTCCTTGGTTTTGTAATCATTCTTAATTATTATGATTATTTTATTCTCAGCAACATCAACAACTTGTTATTACAAGATTATTACGGTTGACTATAAGTCCTATACATTTCCTTGTATACAGCAAAATGGATTTGGATTTTATTTTATACATTATTTTACAATTTGATTATAATTTATATCAATGTATGATGTAAATGTTGCAATGTGTTGTGTTCACTAAGTTTTCTTGTTTTTGTATTCATGCATAATGATTATAGGTACCTAGTTGTTTTATTTTAAATGATGTCAACAAGTTATGGAATTTAATAAAATATCGGTATCCAATTTTAAAGAAGTTATTTATTCAAAAAACGATCTCACTAACGAGGATTTTATAATTATTGTTATACCTCTGTAATTAATAAGTAATATTTTAATAAATTTTGGTGTTACCTATAGGCTGTAGAAAATAATACATAGGACATATTTTATAGTTTTTACTCAGAAGTAAATTGGCATTTGTTATAAGTAATAAATTATAATTGTATTAAGACTGGTCCGAAGAAAAGTTGATGATAAAAAGTTCAAGTTTTATGATTTTTTTTAATGATTTAATGACACACCAATAAACAATAAGTCGTACATCATAATAATAATAAATAATTAATATTATGTTTGCCAAACATATTTAATATTTATTTATTTTACATATACATGTAGCATTATTTTCTCTCATTTATCAGACAATTATTCACATTTTAATGAAAATTGTGTGAACACTTTTTGATAGCATCAATAAAAGTAATTATACTTGAATAAATAATAAAAATGTTATAAAAATAAAGGTTTATACCAAAGAAAAAGAGTAATAGTAATTATTTATTTTTTAAAAGAAAATATTTTTTGCTCTAGTAAATAACTGTAAAATTGATAATAATAAAAAAATGTTTTGTAGACAAATATAATATGGTATGATAATTTTTGACCAACCCAAATATTTGACTGCACAATGATGCAGCCAGTTTTGAACTGTATCAGAATAACTTAGTAACCTAAAAGCATCACCTATCTTGACTGGGTAAAAACATTGAGGCCAGTCTATTAATAAAAAGTCTAGGTAATACAACATTACAGTGTGTTTTCTATGACATTGAATGGTTTTTAGAACCTACCAAACCTACTAATAGTTTAATTGTGTATTTTATGATACTGTCTATACCATTATTAATTATTATATACAATTGTAGTTGATATCTATAGTTTTCTACAGTATGGTTTAGTTGGTTTAAATTATAAGCCAGTATATCTTAAGATAAACTAGCTCTAACCTAGCCATATACTCCCAAATGAGTAAATTTGAAAAATGACAAAACATAATCAGTTATTCATATATTTTAATAATTTAATAAACAAACATGAAACAAAAATGTATACATTATTAAGTATTAAGAATATAAATTTAAAGGTAATCTTTATAAAGATTTCTATTTATCTATTAACAGAAGTAAAATATCTATGACATCGAAGCATTGAAACAAATTCTAATATGCTTGCTTTCTCCCTCTCTTCATTTTTAGGTTTGCCATTAAAACACATGATAAAAATTATTTTCAAGTCCACCCTCGTAAACATATAAGTAACCTGAAAAAAGGATTAATTACCTTGTTTTTATCAATTACGATATAAATTAGTATAAGTGTAGTTAATTTAATTTATGCTGTAACTTTAAAGAATTTAACAAACGAATCAGATATTTGCTTAGTGTTTTTGTAAAAATTATATTTTCAATAAAGTAGGAAACTAGCGGTTTAACATTTTTTTTTATCAGCAAATAATACTTATTGGTTTAAACTTTAATTGCCTGTACTACTAATTGAAAAATATATTTTGGACTTATCCCTTGAATGTTATAGTAAAATGATTTATAATCACTTTAAAATGTAAAATAAGTAATGGTACAACATTTGATTAATGCTTTTGACCTGGTGATAATATATCTTCCCATTTATACTATGTTGGATAGTTATATAGAATAATATATTTTATTTGTCATAATACCTATTTAAGAATTATGTGTTGAAACATAATTGAATAAATCAAAAACTTACATTTTCATCTGTAATCATTTCAATTTTATTAACTGAGTTTTCTTCATCATTTATTCTTATCTTTTCTACCACATCAAATTTAACTGGGACCTAAAATAAGTATTTAATAATAATTAATAATTAAATAAATAATTGAACATGATCATTTTAATACCTTTGGGTAGCTAATTATAACTTTATACTTAAAAAATGGATCCATTTTAGTTATAGGTGGAGTACTACTTGTAGGTGGAGTAGGTGAACTCCCATTACAAGAGTCATTATCAGAAGGATAATCGGGGGTTTCGTACACCAATATTGCAGATAAAGCCTCTGCCTTCTGCTTTAATTGTTGCATCCTATAATTACACATATACACTAAACAGGCAGTGATTTTTTTTTCACAATTGATTAAAATAAATTTATAAGTCATGATTATTTAAGCCATAGTTTAACAATGAGCAACAAAAACACTAATATCTTTAAAGTATACATACTTTGTGAAAAAATTTAAATTTTTTTCTTCACTTGTGTTCTTTACTTCTCGCAATGATGATTGTCGTATAAGTATTCCATAAAAATACAACATAAATTTAGAAATTGTCATGTGTTTGAATCTTTTGAACCATATAAGCAATGGAGGTAAAGTACTTTTGCTAGTAAACAATTTACTGAATCTCCAACCCTAAAAATCACAATTGTATGTCAAAGTTCATAAATTATGAATTCAAAATACTAATATGCATTTAATTATTAAAGTATATTTAACTGTGTAATGATTTCAATTTTAAAGTTTAAACTTATGATACCTATATATTATATAGCAGTGGATATCATCAACTGAATGGTAGACTGCAATAAAAAAAATGTATATAATATATATACCATATAGTTAACATTTTACCAATCCTATAGATTCACTAACCTAACCATAAGTTCACAACAAGAAAGTTCTTGTAAGAGGCGGAGCTGTGTCGTCATCAAAATCATCTCGTTCATACATTCTCGATGAAATTAATATCATGAGTTTGCTCTTAACTTATCACATCCTAAATGTCCAACTACCAAATCAATTTAACAATTGAAATCTTTTTTATAATTTTTTCATCCATCTTATGTCGACTATTAAGTACTTCCATTTTATCCAAAAAACTAGCATAACATTTAGATTTATTTTAATGAAATAAAAATAACTAAAATTGTATATTTCACAAGTGGTTGATGTGAAATTTGCTCAGATCTATAATTCTTCATATGACAACATTATTTCACTATTTCGTTAAGCATATATCATCATTTTGTATTGTACCTCGGCTTAAATATTTCCAATTTTAAAATTCTTTTCAAGAGTACATAAATGAGCTTTCCTTGCATACTCCCTGGGCCCTGAGCATGCCTATGCATTTGTATTATTTATAATTAATATATAGATTATTACCTCTTGGTTTTGATAGCATTTTTCCCACGCAATAAATGCATCACTACTTTCCTTTAGGCTAATCAATGAATTAAAATATGACCAATCCCCTAAATGTTCATGACACTTGAATAAATGTTGAATGCAATCCAGCTCATAACTGTAAAAATATATTTTATATTTTAAGATTAAGTCTAGGTATCCAAAGGATGTTTAAACAATATATTCTGTAGTCAAATGTTTCTAATAGAGGTAATTTATACAAAATATATTTATATAATATGTAACCATTATTCATATATCAGACTTTATGACAATATGGTTAAGTTGTAACTATTATATTATAAATAGAATACTTAAAAGAATATGAAAACCAAACATGCAAAGCTAACATCTGCTTAAATTGATCTATTTAAATTTATATACTTAAGAGGATGTTAACGTAATTTTTGTTTTTTCTCTCAGACTCACACACAACATAGATAAAACACTTCTGCCTAAAATTGTTTTTTATGATTTTTGAGTAATCTTAGAGTAAAATTACCAATTACAAAAATTATAGAGGATAATATTTTTGAGGGTATGACATATCGGTTTTATATTTTATTATTATTTGATTTTCAAAAAAAAATGTTGTAAATTTAAATTATGTTTAAATTGTTTTGAGACATTATTTAGACAAATTGAGTCCTGCCCTCAAAAATATTGTTCTCTGTTGATTTTGTAATGGGTAATTTTCCTTTAAAATTATTTAAAAACATAAAAAAAAAAATGATTCTGCGTAAATGCGTTTTGTCTATGATGCACGAGGGCCAGAGAGATAAAACAAACAGTGCGCTGACATCCTCTTAACATTAAAATGATTATTTACCGTACAATTCTTAATACTTGATCAACAGGTGAAAAATTGCTAAGATCATTCTGAATATTTTCAACAGTCTCAGATAACTCACTAAAATTAATCCAACTATTCAAAGATCCGATTTCATATAATTTATCATATAAATCAAGAAGCTGGAGTCTAACGGATATAAACTGTAGAAGTGTAGTCATAAATTTTGTAACATAGTTATCATCAACCTCGGACTTGAGTTTTTCGAGGTCTTGAAACAAGGTCTTGTACACAAAGTCCAGATAGTTCTGCAATGAAAAATAAGGGAAACATTTAATAGGTCTAATATTACGCCATGTTGTATTATTGTAGGTACCTCGTCTTCTTTTCGCTCAAGCATTTTATTTTTTGAAGGCTCAAAATTGGTATCATAGTAATTCTTTTCAGCCAAAGCAAAATCACATAGAATATCAAACATTGCTTTGGGCCAAACATTGTTTAAGTTAACTAAACGTTGTTTCTCCTAAAAAATAAATTATTAAATAGTATCTACCATAGACCCAACATTAAATTATTTTTATTGAAAAATTACCATAAACACTTTAGCATCATCATAACTAGATTTTGATAAATGGTTAAAAAATATACGAACAATTTCTTCTTGAGACTTTGCCATGTTTATGTCATAATTATAATAATGTAATAGTTAACTTTATTACCTACCTCTTATTAATATAATTAACAACTATCAAATAAAAATATGTTTGAAATGCCTTACTATTATTAAATAAATACTTAAGCTCCAATGTTAATCATAAACGTCCTTGCGGCAAAATTTATGTCAAAGAATAACATTTATATTTTAATAAATAGGTATTCAATACTATTAAATTTGTTTCACATTCACAGCAAATAGTGCCAAATGGCAAATACAATAGAATAGTAATATACGAATTATACGAAATATCCGAGTACTAATACTAGTAGTATAGTATTTCTTTACAGTATCACACATGTTTTTGAAACTGATAAGTGATTATAATAATATATTCTGTGGTTATGTCCATGCGTCTGGTAAAAGCACAGATCCTGGTTATAACCGTGGCACAGATATAAATATATTATATATTGTATACAGATATGTATAATATATTTATTTATATTGTTCTATGATACCTATTTCTGTAAATTTGCACACAAAAATATGTATAAAGATAACAAATGAGATTTTTTGGTGGTATGAAAATTATAAAGAAAAGCGTTTAGTTTATACCTACAAAGGTATATTTTTGAAAATGGTTTATAAATGTATTTTGTGTAGTAATAAAAGTAAAACCACTGAAAACCCTCAATCTCGAATTAGCTTTCATTCGTAAGTAATCATGCTTTTCAAATAACTATAATTATCTATAGTTATTATTAATCTTTTAGTTACCTGCCTATATACTTATATGCATATTACGAGTTATTATGAAAAAATATTTAATATGTTTTAATAGTTTCCCAACAAATCCCGATTTAAGGGGAAAATGGATTAAGATAAGTGGAGTTGAAGACATTTTAATTAAACCTATTAAAATATGTTCCGTGCATTTCAATGAAGATTCATATTTACCAATGTTTCCAATATCTAAAGGTTTAAAACAAACTGCTGTACCATCATTGTCTATGAATAATAGGCGATGAAAGTATATTAAATAATAAATACAATATTAATTATTTTTAACTAGTATAAGTATTTATATATAACTAATGTTCAAATGTATTATTTAGTGTTTTGAATACAACTATGCCAAATAATGCTGTAGTATTAAATTCACCGGATTTTCTAAATAATATACCTACTAAAATATCACGTGATACAAGTCCAATAAGTAATTTGTCAACTTCTCCGTTCAATACAATATTTCAACCGACTATTGGATCTGAATCTTTGAGGTAGGTATTTTATCATTATGTTTGCTATGTATAATAAAAATATATTATTTTTTTTAGTAATTGTGTACCGACAAAGAGAAAAAAATTGTATTCTCATCCTCGGCACATAGGCGATTATACTGAAGAACATGTTAGTACACTTAAAGGACAAACGAATAATTTAATATACTTAAAAGGAATATATTTATTACAGACAAAAAAATAAAATGTTTACAGCAGCAATATAGGAACCTTGAAAAAAAAGTGGTGTCATTAAAATTACTACTAAATAAAAGTAAAAATAAAAGGTTAATTTCTGAACATGGTGCACAGAAATTAATTACGAAATATTAATTTTTCAATTTAGAATTATTCTTTTTAGTAGGTACCTAGTCAAATTAGAAATATATTTGAAATTAAAATAATGGTTGGTTAATGTCTAGGCTGGGTTAGAAAAATTAAAAAGTTAGGCTACTTGTTTTTTTAAGTAATTTCTAATTTAACAAGTTCAAAGTTGTTCCATGATATGTAGAACTTGATATGAATTTATAAGGAAAATTAAAATTTCACCTAAATAGACGAAAGTCTCAGGAGGGGATGAAGGTGTCATATTACGCTCAACTTTGTCTTTTTTTTCCTAATGATACATACAAATTTCCCTTGAACACAATTAACTTGACTATATTATGTGGAAAAAACAAAATGGTGTACCCTATAAACTTGTGTTGTCTTTTTCAAAACTGGTGGCATTAAAATTATGACTTTACAAAAATTAGTATTTGGGAACTGTGGAAGAAATCTTTAGATGGAGTCAACAAATATTTTATGATAGGGCAATGTACAGTGTACAATTTCTCAATTCATAACTAGGTGCTCTAAAAATACTCTACTTGTGATTATCTTATAATTTCTGTCTTTACTGCAGACCAATTATTTACCTTTTCTACAAAAAACAACCGTATATATAAAGTTGAAAAACCCAGTGAGAGGTAAGTTTGTACACAATACAATGTAAATAGAATAAAAATATAATGTAGGTATATAATAATTATTATGCCTATTATCATGATAGAAATAACTAGTTAGGTTAACCTAACCTAACCTAACCTAACTAGTTATTTCTATCATGCCTATTATAATCCAAATGGGTATTTAAAATTATTGGGTACATTAATAAGTACAATTTCTTCAATAAGAAAGTTACAAATTAAACCTAAAACAGATAAACACTTATGTCAATAATTGAATGTATTAGATATTTATATTTGTATTCATATGATGTCTAGAAATTGAGTTTGCCACAAAATGTATATTAATGGCAGTGTCGTGCCGTCTTGGTCAAAAATACAAATGAGTTAAAATAATTTAATTATTAGTAACTGACACGTTTAATATAAAGACTATAGATTTAAAGGAAATAATTTTTTTTAATTGTATTATTTATAACTATAATATGATATAAAAAAAAATGAGTTAAAATATTTAATTTGGTATTTAAAGTGACTGTTATAATTTTCTATATTTTGCCTAGTGAGATCGTTTCTCTCGCTGATCTGAGTACCTATATTACCAATATTTTATTACTGACAAATGCAAAAAAATGTATTTTGTTACATATATCACATTAAGTCAAAAAATTCACATTCCCCCCCTCTCCTTTCTAAAACCAATTTACTCCGTTCTACAGTACGCAGAATTTACTTATAAGCACGATGTAGGACCTACATCGTAGGTAAAACATTTTATCTACATCGTGCTTATAAGGGTAGAGGTAACAGTATCTTGAGCGATCCACTAGGTAGCGCTTATGAAATTTGAGGCAATTGTAAACCTAAGGATATATTATTATGATTTATGAATATTATGATGCTCCAACATCAAGAAGAAAATTTAGGTGATTTTAAACATAGACCTTAGTCCACTGGTCATGACAAATTAAATTGAATTATTCATGTATAAACCAACTTAGTTTTTGCTGATAGACAAATGACAATATTATGAATTTATAATGATAAAAATGGTCAAACTCCAAAGGGATTTAGTTGAAAAGTGCACTATTTGTCCCTCATGGTTCTATATTGCAACCGCTAGCCAGTGAACTGATATTTGGTTTGGTTAGATCTATTTAGGTCTATTTGTCCATTTGAAAATTTAACCTTGGATAATACGATCTAAGAATATAACCATAAGGACCTAGTTGACTAAGGATCTAGATGCGTCACCCTAAACCATAGATGATAAGCGGTGATAATACATTATTTGTGATAACATGGTCCATGAGTTAAGTGTGCTTGATTTTTTATTTGTGCCTTGTGCATTAAATTAATAATATACTTATTTTTAACTGTTTAAATGCTTGGTTATATCGTTTTTAAATTAAAAAAAAAAATTTAACTTAACACTTTATCATTTGAAGTAATTGTATGATATAAATGTATTAAAACTATGTTTTTTAGACGTTTAAAACTATCACATACACGGTGTTTTCTGCCGGCGTTTTTCTTGAACAAAAATGAACACGATTTAGAAGGAACCGAAATCTTAGATACAAAAAAAGTCGGTGGTTGGCAAGGTGTTGTGAACGCATTTTCCACCGAGTATGAATAAATGTCTAATTAATCAAAATTAACTTCAATAGGACCATTTGGTTTTATTAATATGTGTACTTGTTTTCAGCGAAGATGGCAATCCATCTCCAGATGTAAGAGCTATACTTTCGACAATATGTTACAGCAGTTTGATGGGTGGTGTGTATGGAAGTTTATCATACAGTAAACGGGCTTATGAGGATTTTTTTCAGAAGAACCAAGCAACACTGTTTCAAAATCAGTTTGAAGCCAAAGTATGAAATTTAAAGTCATATTATATTCAATCATCTAAATTCAATTTGTGGAATCAAATACAATAATGCCCATTATATTTTTAGGCTAAACTACAATCTCAAGTTACACTGGCAATGGCAAGAGGTGTCTTTAAATGGGGAACTAGGGTAGCACTATTTTGCGGATCTTTTACGTAAGTTTTCATAGTCTAATATTATTATATTATATCTTTAAATTTCTGGAAGAAAAAAATATATTGTTATTACTCCTCCTAAAAAAAAAAAAACAAAATCTCTGAATAGCTACTTTTTTATATCTACTAAAGTAGTAAAGCAAAGGTGATATTAACCTGTTTTCTAAATATGATAAATTATGATTGCTTCCAAATTTAAAAACTCAAATCTATTTAAAAAAGAAAGGATCTGACCTAACTCTTGATAATTATTGTTCTTTTCATATTTTGTTAGACACTACTATGAATTATATCAATTTTTGCAAATCCAAATGTTCAATAAGTTAGGTTGTTGTTGTTGACTAAAATACATTTTAAAAAGAATTTTATTCTTAGAAATTTGAAATTTTTTTTAGTAAATAGGCTGCAGAGGATTAATTGTAACAATCAATGAAAGTTTTTTTGTATGAAAATAAAATAATGCTGAGTGTATTGCCATATACTGACATCCCGCCTATATACATATAATACTTTAGATTAAAGGTTCTCAAACTATGGTACCACTAGTGGTACGCGAAAGGCCACAAAGGATAGAACGGAGAATAAATAAATGAATATTTTAAATTGTGTTTGAACATAGTCACATGGAAATAGACATAAGTGGAAAAAGACAGATTAGTCGGCTAGATATATTAATAATACACATGAGTTGTACGCGGAAAAAAAAGTGAGAACCGCTGCTTTAGATATGTATGGGAGCGCCATAAAATGGTTGTCGACTAGTAAATGGTGCTAAATTTTAATAACCTTAGGGGAAGACAAGGCTAGGCCAACAACAAAATAGTTATCTAGGAGATCAGTGTGTAGTAAGTTCTGGAAATAGGAAAAGAGAAATTGTGTTGCAAAAAACTTGCGAGTAGAAAAGGCTAGTTCTAAATAATACTAGAAATACGCTCAAGAGTACTCTAGTATTTTAACTTGACAGATGATTAATCAAGAATATTTGAATAGCTAATGTTTCATATAGTATTTTTATAGTAGAAACTACGCATTGTTATGTCGATAATAAAACAACATGGGATATTACATTTGGCCTTAAGAGCATGGCTTGATGGCATTTCCTGGACCTAGTTTACATGCATTTGATAGTTAATGGGGTTAACACGGTCTTGTCGTTAAAGAAGTAGTACAGATTAGGACTATATAATAGAGACCTGAGCAACCGATATTTAGACGTGAACTGTCAGAGTGAGTGCGAGCACCTTCACGCCAGCAGACTGAAAATTCAACTCCACCAGAAATTATTCAAATAGTTTTACAGTTGCAATTAAGTCATGTACAATAAATAAACACATTGGGTTGAATTATTGACACCTTTGTCCATCATCATTCATCATATTGTACTCAGCATCTGGAAGCAGGTTCCTTAGAGTATTGTATCTCAAGGCACAAACACAATTTTTGTCTTATATTATATTGTTAATATTTTTTTTATCATAACAATACAAAATAGTATTCTAAATAATTAGTACATTTATAAATTATAATGTTTACATAGTGTAAGAACAAAAAAAAAAAGGCACAGTTATAAATATTATAATAGAGAAAAGTAACGTATTTACTATTGGCATATCATTATTTTCATTTTCAGAACTGTAGTAACTGCTGTAAATGCGTACACACAAAATGTAACTTTAATTAGTTATGCTACAGCTGGTTTTGTAGTTGGTGGAATTGCAAGAATAAGTTTTGGTATGAAAGGTTTTATTGTTGGATCTACATTGGGTAAGTACTTTTGATAACATTGAACATAATACATCATATGAATAATGTAAATACAAATACATATAAAACATTTAGGACTTTGCGTTTAACATATATCTCTAGTCTTCTTATCTGTCATATAATTGTATTAAGAGGATGCACCATTTGTTTTCTCACTCTGACCCACACTCAACATAGCAGATTTAATATGTTCAGCAGAACCAACCCTGTGTTGTTTTTTTCAATATTAGAGTGAAATCAGCTACTATCAAACTTTAAGCTAAAAACATTGCTTGTGTCTACTTTGGATTTTTATACATTTTGTAAGCATTTTTAGTAATTTAATTATTTACACGCTGATAACATGCATACAATTTTAAATATGATTAAATAGCAAGCATAGGGACATAGGTAATGTTCTTAACTTAAAGTTTGATAATATGTTAATTCACTCTAATATTAAAAGTAACAACACTGGTTCTGCTAAATTTAAATATGCTATGTTGCGCATGGGTCAGAGAAAGAAAAAAAATAGTGCTCTAACATCCTCTTAATATTTTGAACAGTAATAGTGTAGTGTGATATTTCCTGTTAATTCACTATGCAGTAATTAGAAAAAACATATCTTTCAACAACCAAACTTATTTTTAATCTACTATTGGAAAAAAACTAAGTACAAAATTAAAACAATGCAATGAAAACACTATTTAGTATTAATACATTGTTTTTTAAAAAAAGGTAATAAAAATAGTTTATAGCTTGTATTTTGTATAAACGAGACAATCAAGATAAAACTTTGTATTTTATTATGTTATTTGATTTAAAAAAGCCAAATCAATTTATTTAAAAAAATAAATATCAAAAGTTTCAACTAAATGACAATCTATCCTCTAAATTTATGTGTGTTCATTTCAGGGGGTATTTTAGGGATTATTGCTGGAGGTTGTACATTATTAATATTAAAGTATTCTTCTTTTACTATGGATGAAGTAAAAGAATGGCAGAGCGAAAGTCAAATAGAAAGAGATTTGTATGTATAAATATAAAGTGAAAAAAAATAATATTTCACCAAGTTTATATCTATTTCAGATATTTTGTTAAGGAACAAAAAACATCTCAGATATTCAAGTATGATAAACCACCTGAACTAGAAGAACATGAAAAAAGATTACAACAATTGGGACAATTCCAGAATAAAGAATAACTGGAATGATTTATGGTAAACATCTTATTTATTAATGTTCATATTTTATATTTATATATTTGTTAACTATTCATTAAAATTAAACTTAAACGTATTAAAATCTTTAATCCTTAAATCTTATATAACTCTTATAACTCTGCATAATAAAATTCTGAAATATGGTATGTTGATATTAGTATTGCGTTCTAAGGTCCACACCTTGTTTTTTTTAAGTCTGCCATTTGTAATACAGTGAAAGTATCGATGAAATCTGATCTCTTTTTAAATCAATTGCTTTAATTATTATTTATAACATAAAACAAAAAAACTTTTATTATTATTTTTTAATTGTGCATTATATTTACAATTTCAGAATGAAGTGTAATGTCATATATTCAGGACTCTGGTACCTCATCAGCAGCTCCATTATAGGGAAAAATTGATACTTCAAAGGCCTTGGTGAACCGTTCATCGCAGTCCATCAGTCCTCTAAATTCCATCCAATAATTGCCAACATTAGCCATTGCTTCAACTACAAAATCCCAGTGTTCATCAGCATAACTTACAAACGAATCAACTGTTAACATGTACATATTGTTATAATTGTTAGTAATTTGTGTTAAAGTAAATAGTGTTGTTATTTTAGTATATTATCTCACCATGTTTACCAAAATTATTCACCTACTTTAGTTGTTCTTAATATCCATCTTTTCCAAAGCTCATATGGATGATTTATATTGGACAATTTTGAAATCCAGGGTTAATCCTTAATTTATCATTTATATTGTTTCTCCTAGATGAAATCTTTAAAAAAATGCTGATTATTTGTTTGGATATTTGGAAATGTATAATTAAATACAATTCTTAAAATTAACATACAATAGTTTGATCTTATAACAATATAGTTTTTGCCATGTGATTCTGATTATCTGATTTTAGTATTGTTACGTGGTAGTAACTATATACCTTTGTCTATCCCTGAATTTATCAAGAGCAAATTAATATCAAAAAGGGAATTAAGAGAGGATTTAAATACCGGGTTTGACAAGACACTTGGTTATTATTCTATTCTTTGGTTACCTATACTGAGTAAAATTTAATAAGTTTTACTTTATTCAATATGGAACGAATACAGTAGTTGTTTTAGTCATTTTTACTTCATTATATGCATGTATTTTTGTATACTTTATTTAATGGTACTTATTTAAAAAAAAAAGTATATGAAATGGTTTTTGGAAGTTATGATCGAAAAAATCTTACCGACCTACGGTCAGATGTAAATATGTAATTGAATATAATAGCAGAGTAGTGGACATTAACAAAATATAGTCTGTCATGTCTCGATTGTGTCATATGTTGTCGAAAATTATTTTTCACATTTTAGTTTTCATACTGCATATAATAAAAGCTGTGAGCTTTAACATATTATTTGTCTACTAAAATGGTAAAATACAATAATGGTTTGTATTCTTACTAATAATTGAATAATATTTGATATTATATAATATTGTGTAATAAATAAATTATATTCTAATAAATAGGGCTCAGATTTTGTAGCAAATGCTTCTTTTGGGGGGAGTAAGATAGAAAGATAATTCTTATGTATAAATACGTTTTGAATCGTTCCGATTTTAATGAAGTGAACTTTTTTTTGCTTTTTCTACAAAACCTGCTGTTTATTGCTTTTTCTCCTATTTGATTCTTTTTTCTATATTTTTATACATTTTTCTTCAAAATTTAACTTATTTCTATGAATATTATACTTGAACTAAATTAATATTACCAGAAATTATAAAACCAGTGAAAAAACAAGTAATTAATGTATAACTGATAAAATAACGATGGTCATTGTGCCAAAATAGTTTTATCTACAATTATCTATAGTTGTATTTATGACTCAAGGAAATAAAAAATTATCTGAATTATACCTGCGTATTTTTATAGCACGACGCTATCCAATACTTTAGTTGACTGGTAAATATCAATCGACAATCAGTGAGGTATAGTCGGTATAGTGCTCTCTACAATCGTCAAAATGCCAAAAGTTAAAAATTAAAATTATATTAGCACCTATTATTATGAGTTTTAATGAAAGTAACGTGACTAAATATATGGTCGTAAATTCCTTTTATAATATTTAATTTTATGTGTAATTGAAATTTGTTTTTTAGAATTAAATTTAATAAATGCTTTTTTTTGCTTTTTTTGGCAACTTAAAATGCTTTTTTAAGGATTTATTTTGCTAAAAATTCCGAGCCCTACTAATAAATAAAAATGAATTTGATTACTATAATATTTGGTATAGTTATGGATCATTTACGTTGACAAACTTGGATTTCATCATTGATTAAAGTATAATATATAAATAAGTACCTACAGTAACTAATTTTATTGCAAATGTATTTTACTTAAAAATTGTAAGACATTCATTGAATTATTATGTTATTTATTAGCTTTAAAAAAAGATAGTTGGGAATAATTATTAATTTTATATTTAAAAATAAGTAACTTATTTTTAACTACAGTAGAACCCCTCTCGTCCGCCGCTCCGTCTGAACCGACCACAGTATTATTGATATGAATACTATGTAATTTAAAAATACAATTTGGATTTTCCAATTTTTAGTAAATATATGTATAAAATTAATTGCTAGTTTAATATTTCCCTTATCGCTAGTCCGCTTTAAAAGTAACTAGTAGTTTCCATCGGTGTGTTCATTTTGTGTTACGACAGTGTTCTTTTGTGTTCATTACATATATGTATATTATTTGGAACTTTTCTACTTTACGGGACACTTTAATTTTTGTTTTGTAGGCTTACAATACCTTAAATAACGAAGGCTATGTGCATATGAGTATATGACACTTAACCATAGTCTCCATTTCAAAGACCCGGAGACAGGCGTCCATTCTAATACCATTGAGAGTTCATGGAGACATTCAAAAGCCTCCATGTCAAACTACTGTCGTAAAAAATCATTTTATGCGGGATACTTGGCCAAGTATATGTTTACTAAACACTGTCGGGCTCATAAATTGGACCCGACAGGCGACAGCTGAATTTCTAAAACACGCAGATCTAGTTTATAACATAAACAACACCGAATACGTTGGTCATGATGGCAATGAAGGTGGCGGTGACAGTAGCGACGACAGCATTGACAGCGATGAAGAACACGTGGACGAGGAATACGATGAATACGAGAGTGAAGATAGCGACGGTAATGGCGATGGGAACGACAAGCAGCTTCGGTGGCAACCACTGGCAACGTAGACACGTCAAATAAATAACTTTGTTTAAATTTTTTAATTAATTTAACACCTAATAAAGATAATAAAATAATGACATTCATTAATTACCGGACCCGGGATCGAACCCGAGTTATACAGCATGGCAACGTATAGTCAGTAAGACCTGCCAGAATAGCCCGACGAAAATCGGGCATTTTTAAAGTTATTTAACATGATATCTACTAACTTTGAAGTGCTATAACTTCGTAACTATGTCCGAGCGCCAAATTCTGACTTCACCATCGTTTTCAGCGTACTTAACTACTTAAGTTTCAATAATAAAAATTGCAAAAAAAAAGGTGTCCCGTAAAGTAGAAATATACCTATTATTTTATTACGTTTTAAACATTTGTTACAATTTATATTGTGTGTACAGCTGTGTGTTTTTTCAACAAGTATTCTGATAATCCCATAGACCTATTAACCTAGTTAATAGACCTAAGGTCCATGGATAATCCGACCTTTTTCGCGTTCCGACCACACCCCCAGTCCGGAAGGTGACAGATTAAAGAGGTTCTACTGTAAGTTAAGTTACTTTTATTTTCTAATTAACTTACATTATTCTATATTAACTTAATGAGTTAAAAAAAATAGTTAAATTGTCCAGCCTTGTTATTTATGTTTTTGTGAATAAAATAATTACAATCTCCGATGGGGTGACGGACGGTTGAAATTGAAATACGCAAGACGCGTACTTTAAGAGGTTATAACTTTGAAACTAAGTCTGATCGACAAATTTTAATTGCTCAATTGTTCTTAACTCGTAATACACAAGTTTTCAGGGAAAAAAATCTTTTGGGAGCTACCTATACTGCGTTTATGACTAAGCGATGAAACGAGACTGTTGCCTCGCCCGACAGTTATTGAGATCTTGGTGAAGTTAAGAAAAATAGGTGGCGACTCTCACGCGGTTTACGCTTCAATCGGGGGTGTAGCCATTGACAATGAAGATACTCTATAGTCTATATAATAATTAAAATTGAAAAATTCACAATTAAATTGAATAATAACATAATGAAATTAGGGTACCTATATTTTGACATTCAAATCAGTGTAAGTACGATAGAGATGTAGTATAGTAATGAGTTCGGTGAAATCCGTGGGCTCTTAACTGGCGGATTGAAATCGTTTTCCAAATGAAGCGGATGAGGATGTTGAAATGATAATTCGACAAACTACAGTACCAACTCACAAGAATAAATTCAAAATGCTAAAGACTGCACTAGAAATGCATATTGAATTATTCGGAGCGGAGAAATCGCAGGTCTTTGTTAGAATGAAACACAATTAGTAGGTAGGTACTTATTCGGGATTTTGTAAATTCGGAAATATCTGATTTCAACAAAGAGACTTCTTTAAACTGAATAAGATCTTGAATAAATGATAAACTCACAGTTGAATACGAATGCGGAAGTGTTCAAAATTGAATATAATATCCTCATGGTCCGATAAAAGTATTGATAAGTACTTAGCTCCATTGTTATCTAAGATTGTTATATTATATTATCAATCAAGGTGGATTTATAAATCTACCTTGGACTATCCAAGGTAGGTATCAATATTGTCTATAATAATATTGTTATGCATTACCTATCAATATGTATTAGGTATGAGTCTATCACAGAGTACAAACACAACCATATCAAAACAGATTGATCGCTCGGTTAGTCGGTATCTATTTTGTATTCATAGTTCATACAATAAATTAATGATTTTTGTAGGTACCTATATTATTCTACATGTACACCCATACAATGTTAAGCTATTTATACCATGAATCTATTTACGCCGGTTTAGGTAGCCAGGTAGATAGTGGCTTATAAGTTAATAACAGCTACCTATAGTAATATTATATGAAATGATATTAAAATAATTATATATTATAATATGTAACAGAGATAGGTACCCTATGCGAATTGTTTTGGCCGACAATTAGTTCAACCATATTAAGAATAAAAAAATTAATTAAGTAAGTACCTAGTACCTACTAATAACAATATACATTTACTAAAAAATCTTCAGAAAAATAGACTGACAGACTATCTCCACTCGGTATCGTTTTTCATTGTACAATGATTGGTAATTGAATTGGAATTTAACTCATTCATTACAGTGACCTACACTCTACAGTCAACACCTACTATTACAGAGGAGTGATTTTTTACCTTCACGCTGTTGCCTGTACTCTTTCGGTAGTTACATACCTATAAATAATTTATGTACTCATAATGTATAAAAACAAAAATTAATTACCTATTTGATTCCACCGGCATTGCAGGTCCGCAGGTATAACTGTATTAACAAATCATTACAATGTCGTTCAAGTAATTTTAGTCAATTTATTAATGCAAAAATAT